TGGCACTCCATATTTTACTGGTGATAATTGAGATGACTCCCCATTTAAATGAACAAAATGGTAGCGATCGGACAGGTAGGATCTAAACCATCTTAAAGCCTGCCCTTGAATACCTGTATAGTTTTGTAATCGATCTATGAGTATGTCATGATCTATAGTGTCGAACGCAGCACTAAGATCATCACATCTGGTTATTTTCCTGGTTGTGTTGTTTCTATTTCTGCAACGTCATCCCCCTGAAATCCTGCTCCACATAACTGAATATTTAACATCAGATATGTGCTGATTGTAATTGTGTAGCCAGTTAAATTATTTGTGCTTACAGACTTGTTCTTTTTTATGCACTTGCACACTAGAGAAAGCTCTTGCAGCACAGTTGATTTATAGTAATGTTTTAGATGTGTTTTGAGGATGTGGAAAGAGCCGGGTCAGTCTGAAACCAAGCAGGAATAAAATTAGATTTTTGAAAGCACAAATGCGTCCTCATCTCTGAAAACCTCATTGGTGAAGCATGCTGCAGCCAAAGTTTTCTCTGTTTTCTCAGGTTTTGTTAATGATGTAGTGTTGCTTTTTGGAGTGTTACACATCTTTGTGACGCAAGATTCAAATCATTTGATTTGTAGTGACACTAAAGTCACCTTTGGATTGTTATTTTGGTAATGATGTCATCATCTTGAAGAAGAGATGAAGGAAGAGCTAGCTGTAGTTTTCAAACCTGTAAATTGTATTTCCAAACATGGAAATTTACAAAATCATAAAAAAAAATGTGAAAGTGAATGTCAGTGTTTCTAGTTATGCTTGAATTAAAAAAAGACTAGAGATTTCTCTTTTGTGTGTGTGTGTGTGTGTGTGTGTGTATAATGTAATTATTAATTCTATTTAAAATATATATATATTTAATATATTTAAGAAATATATGTATATATATATTTAAATATAAATGTGTGTATTATAGTTATATAATAGTATATACTGTATATACTATTTTAGCTCAAAATAGTTTTCTAATTAATGTATTTGCAAAATAAGATCCATATGCTAATTCACATTCACAAAAAAAAATTTCGCTTTTATATTTGCAAATTCACAAACTCGTACTCAAAATTCATATTCAGAAAATACAGTTTCCAAATGCACAAGCAAATTTACATTCACAAAGCAAAAGCCAGTGACTTGACTTGAAAGTAAAATTCACAAATTCAAAACACAGTTCATAAATGCACAAGTGTGTTT